AGTTTGAAAATATAATTCATAAATCTTATACTAAAAAAAAAAAATTATCAATGTCAAGCTCGTACACGCGTATATGAATGCTCGCGGTTGTAAACAAGCTACGACCAAAAATAAAAAGCGACTCGTAGATATAGGCGCGTGCAAAGGCGGGAGCAGTTTTGACGTACCGGAATATAGTAGTAATAATCGTAGTAGTAGTGGGCAGTAAGGTACATTATTATATATATCGAGAGCGCTGACACTTCACTCGAGTATATATATATAGAGAGAGAGAGAGAGAGAGAGAGAGAGAGAGAGAGAGAGAGTTGCTCGGGCACAGGCCGCATGAAAGAAGAAAGGAGAGAGAAAGAGCCAGAAAGGAAGAAGAGACTCGATCGTCGTGTCTTTGATGAAATAAATGCGCCGGTTCTTTGTGCGCCGTAGTCGTCGTAGTCGTCGTCGTCGTCGTCGTCGTCTCTTCTCTCTGGCATGCTCGTCGTCGTAGATTGGGCCTGAATGCCGTCGCCCTGCAGCGTAATACACATACACACACACACAGAGAAAGAAAGACTTGCACGCATGTATAGATTGGCTTCAATAATAAAGTATGGCCATTAAGTTGTCTCTCTCAAACACACACACACACACGCGCACACACATGCGCATACATATACTCGCAGCACAGCGTCGCTTTAAGCGCGATAATCTAGCGATAATGAGGAGACTTGTTGACGAAATCGTCGTCGTCACTGCTGTTGCAGCAGCAGCAGCATCAGAAGCAGCAATGCAAGATAGAGGATGTGTGCATTTTTGTCCCGCTGCTGCTGTATAGCGATCGCGGATGAGCGCGCCCAGCAGTCGGTGCGGATATTGCAGCCGCTGATCGTGTTGTAGTAGTAGTACTTTCGACGTTGCACGTACGAGGAATGCTTTTAGCCGTTGCTTATGTACTTGGGCAAGTTGCACCAGTAGCAGTGTACCACCACCACGGCCACAAGTTGGCCGATGTACACGCTCGTGTGTGTGTGTGTGTGTGTCGAGTTCATCGATTGTTTCGATGAAGAATGTTGGCTACTTACGCGATCGGGGCCTCTCAAAGTTGGCCGCGCGTAAGTAATTCTCTACGGCCGGGGCGGGATCAATTTCGTTTCGTTCTGTGTGCAAGCCGATCACGATCGACCAAGCTCGTATATAGATACACGTACGCGGGTTTTGGCTTTCGATGTACATAGTTGCTCATCTTCTTCTTGGCGTACAGAGAAGCTCTCTCGCGAATTTCTGATCTGCGTGTAGCACGCGGCTTTGATTATCCGCGCGTACTACGCTCCGCATATTTTTTCACTCTCGTTCAACCATTTCGTTTCACGCATTAAAAATGTATGTTAAGTGTGGAGAGCCTCGAGTACGTGTGTGTGTGTACTCGTTATTATGGATTTTGACAATGTATATCATCTCTATATACGCGTAAATAGAGGCGCGAGCTCCGTTATTTTTGCGACACGCCATATGATTATATTATACGTACCGAGAGACGAAGAAGAAAAAAGAGCTCTTAATGACAATTACCGTATGTTATAAATAATATCTCGCAATTCTCGAGGCCCTATACATACGCATATAATACGAGCGTGCGAACACAAAGCACAATGATAAATCACCATTAAAATAGGAGAAACGACGTGGCCGACGCGCACTCGTCTTTCGTCTTCAATTTTTCGTTCCTCGCAGCAGCACACGGACGCACAGACACACCGAACGTTCGCACAATAAACATTCCTTTATCGTGACAATGGATCGTCTGATTGGTACGAAAGTAGTAGCAGGCAGTGCTTCGCGTTGCTGCTGCGCATACACACATAGTTCGTGCGTTATATCGTTTCCTGCTGCTGCTCGTCGTATACGTGAAAAAAAAGGAGTATAACCATTTTAATTCAAAATCGCTCGCCGCTCGAGGGCCGTGGTCACAAAAGTTATACAAGAGGAAGAATGAGAGGGTCATTTTCCAGCCGAAGCCGAACGACCAACTCATGCTCCGCTAATATCGTCGTGCGCAGGTCGTCAACGCGCGAACATCACTCTGGGCAGTATATACACGGTAAAAATGGTATGAATCAGCCAAAAGTAAGCCATAAAGAAACTTTCCTATATAACCGTGGAGTTCTGTACTATACAGTACACATATGCGAGTATTACAGGCCTTCGACGCTCGTCGGGTATATATATCGACGATGCAATTTAATGCTGAATTAATTTTTTTTTCTCTCCGCGGTAGCGCATGCGTATATGCCGCACGCACGAGAGACACTTCGCACACGACATGCGTCCTATACACACTATACCATATACATCTACCGCTCCGAATTCAACGTGTATGTGTGTATATATACAGCATCGAAGGGAACAATAGGGCGCGTCTGAAAATGTCTCGTAAATTGAAAACCGCAGCGGGCAGCGGCGGCAGCCAACTCTGGCAAGGCAACACATACACAACGAAGGGGCTGATGAGATGCGCAGGCATGAAGCACTTACGAATTTCCCTGGGTGTACCGAGGGTCCAGTAAACCATCTATATACATATACACTGCACTGTATCGAACCACATACGATGTACCGCTCGGTGCTATATGGCAGCACCCTGCGTGGCCACCGGCAATGCCTCGAGCCGAAGAGCTGAGTTTAAGCACGCGACAGCACTGTAATACACGCACACCGATGCAACTATACTTTTTCGCCGTGCTGCTCCTTTGTACGCGCGCGACCTTTGTGTTAAAGTATAAGCGCGCATCGGCTACTCTCGTTATATGTGCGTGCGTCCGTAAAGGAGAAAACGATTGCCGCTTCGACGCCACTTCGTATACGGAATATCTTTCTCTCTGCTCCGTTTTCCCTTCGTTTTCGAGGAGTTTATAAGTGCGGCGCGCGTCTGTATATATATCTGATTTTTCGCCCGAGGTGCAGACTACTATACTCGCACAACGATTTCGGGTTTTCGAAGTTCCAAGCCCCGCATTACTCATTGAGTCGTTGGAGACTGTATTTACTCAGCAAAAAAAATGTTTTTTTATCCTTACGCCTTGCGCGATGTTTACTCTCTTTCGCGCGAGCGTCGCGTTATTAAATGCACGATAAACAATCGCAACTGCAACCGTGCGCCGCAAGCTTATTATAAAATCAGCGCGGTATGTAGGTATATTATACTATTTTTATTTTTCAGAATTGGCCGCGGCGTTGACGCGCGATGTGTGTACATAATGCGCAACTCGAGTATCGCGCAAAAGTAGCAAATGCTATACAGCTCGTTAGACACACGTGTGCGAGCGTGTAGTGCACCTGCAGCTCGAGACGACGACGACGACGACGACGACGACGATGTCCGGACTTATTAAGAATTGTTTACCCAGTGAGTAATGCAATTTTTTGAACAAACACAGACTTACCGAGAATCTTATGCGGCGAGGATGTATATTGTGTGTATAATGCGCGAGGCTCGAAAGTATCTCGACTTTTATACATATAATACCATGCGCAGCGCTCGTTGCGAATCAAGTATCGTACCGCATGTACATGATGTATAATATAATATGAATGCACAGCGCAGCTTCTTACCTGGAACAGAAAAAGCAAAACAATATTTACAAACACGATTCTCAGCAAGTCCTAACGAGTATATCGCACATAAGACGACGGGCGCGTCTAATAAGTGCACATATATTATTATTATCATCATCATAGCATTGCACATTGGAAATTCTCTCGTACGGTAAAGAGTCATCGCGTAAGCTCGGGCTAATTCAGCTTGGCCGAGTCCATTATACTTAATTTTTATTTCTCTTTTTCTTCTGTGTTTTTTTTTACTCATTTTTGTTCCTCATCGAGCTCTTTTCTTTTTTTTTTCTTCTGTGCGCGAGGCAAAAGTTTGTCGAGCTTTACCCATAACAAGCTGCTTCGGGGACGCACAGCCAGAAGGAGTACATAAGAACGAACTGAACAAACTATGTATACAACCGAGAGCCGCGTGCAGCACGAGTATACTCGCACATACAACCATACGCACGGCTATATGGTAGCAGCGGCAGCAGCAACCGAGATCCGCGGGAGCAAGGGGAAAATAGCCGTGTGCAGAATCAATACCGAGAAAATGAGGGCCAATATTTGTCGAACGCGCAGCCTGCCAGTATTATTTCAAACTGCAGGTCGCGGAGAGAGAGATAGAGACAGACAGACAGTGAGCACCCACGCGCGCGCGCGAACTCTCTTTTCAGCTTCGTTATGTGTATTAGCGTTCGCAGAGACATATATATTATATATACCTCGCATACTCATTGCCCGTACGACCACCTCGCGTACGGAACAGTACATAATATATGTGTCAGGCTGGAGCTTTGGATACGCACGTATTATTATTATTATTTTTATTTAATTTTTTTTTTAGGTATCGAATTTCAAGCTCTGGTAATTTATTGGGGAAATAGTGGAGACCAGCATAAGTAATACTGGGCAATATTATTTTTATATGCCATGCTTGCTTCTTCTCCTATATCTATACGCAGTAAACCAACGAAGCTTGAAAATTGGTATTCAGATTGAGCTTACCGACAATTAAAATTTATATAAATTGTATATTTCTATGAGTCAAATCGAAGGATAAAATCATATTTATTTTTAGCTAAATATTTTTTTTGACTTTTCAGTGGGTTTTTTGAATTATATTATGAAAATTATAGAAGAAAATCCAAAGAAAAACCCAAAACTTTATAATTGTTTAACTCATCACGTTTTAATGCTCTCTTTTGAAGGAGGGAGGAGGGCCTTACTCATTAGGCAAATGAAAACACTTTTTTTTTCAATTTATTTATTTATTTTAATAATATAATAATACATAAAAAATCACGTCTTCAAATTAGTTTATAGTCAACAAACAAATATCAATCTTCGACCACCAGCCAAATGTAATATAAATCTTCATTCATTCGATAATCACTTTACATTACACAATTGGTAATTTGTATAGTGCATCGATTTTAATGAAAAGGTGCTAATTGCCAATCCAAAAAATAGCGTGCCCTTGGTATATTTTTGCACAGGTGCTCAGCGCAAATCTCCCAAAGACTTCTTCCCAGTGGCCCAATGGGAAGCTTACCCCATTTTTTCGAACGCGCAAATTCCAAGTAGTCTGTTGACTTGAGTTGTCTTTGCGCTTCATCAGATGGCAACCGAATTAGGTCGTAAAGTGACAGATTCGGCTTCATCATTATTTTTTTCGCTCCTTCTGCGAATTCCTCGTCGTCGTACCAAGATTCTTGGACATTCGCTGACGTCTTGCTCGGTCCGTAGTTGATCACCGCTCTAGTGTAGTAGATAAGAAAACTGGACTCATTAAATTGCAGTCCTCTGTTCTGAAGACGTTCTACGACGGCTATAATCCCAGACACTAATATCAATTTAAAGTTCTTCTTACATTTGTGATACTCTGGCATAATTTTAGAGGGTATAATCAATCTGGAACAATCGGCACCATGATCCAAGAGTACGTCGACCAATCGTGGGTACAATTTTCCCACGGCCAATGTCAACGGTGTATTGCCAGAATTATCTGGCTTATCGACTTCCACTTCAAGACCTAATTCTTTGCTGCCGTCCAATATTATTTTCGCAAAGTAGAACGAGCGGTGTTTATGATTGTGAATAATTATATGCAGAGAAGTTAAGCCTTCCTGATTAGTTAAATTTGGATTTGCTCCATTTCTTAACAGCCACTTCATCATGCTTACGTTACCGCGCTGCGAAGCGTGGTGCAAAGGTGTGTTGCCCGATTGATCGGGTTTATCGACTTGCAGCGGCCGGCAGCTTGCCTCCAAAAGTATATTCGCCAATTTTTCCGAGTTGCTATCATGGAAATTAATAATGATGTGTAGAGGAGTCAAGCTTGTCTTATTGGCAGAATTTGGGTCGGCGCCACTTCTCAACAGTTCTTCGATTATCCATACGTTGCCACGTTGCAAAGCGTAATGTAGCAGTGTATTGCCAGAATCATCTGGCTTATTGACTTGCACGGAACAGGCGCCATTTTTCAACAGCCATCTGATCATTTGCATGTTACCGCGTTGCAGTGCGTAGTACAACGGTATGTTGCCCGATCGGTCTGGCTGATCGACTTGTACCAGCTGATTTACTTCTTTGCTGCTTTTCAAGAGTATATTCGCCAAGTCCGCGGAGTAGACTTCATGGAAATTAATAATGATTCGTAGAGGAGTCAAGCCTTCCCTATTCGCCAAGTTCGGATCGGCGCCATTTCTCAACAGCAATCGGGCGATATCTTTTTTACCGCGCCGCAAAGCGTAGTGCAACGCAGTGTTATCGTACTCGTTCTGGACATCGACTCGCACGAGCGACGTCTTTCCTTCTCGATATTTTCTCTCGTTGATTCGGAATAATAGCTCTCCCAAGCCATAGTGCCCATACAGACTAATGAGGTGCAGAGGAGTCGATTTCTCCCCGTTGGCAAGATTCGGATCGGCGTCGTGTTCGAGCAGCAATCGGAACATCGTGAGGTTGCCGTAGAACACAGCGAGATGCAATGGTGCCTCGCCCAAGTCGTTCAGGGCATCGACCCGCAAAGTTTGATTCAATTCGTCGTTAACGTGGAAGAACATTTTCACCAAGTCACTGTTACCGCGTCTCTTGTTTAAAATGTGCAAAGGTGTGAGTCCCCATCTGTTGGCCAGATTTGGATCGGCGCCATTCCTGAGCAGTCGCTCAGCCACTTTTTTGTGTCCGTTCTCTAAAGCCAATTCGAGTGGCGAATCATCTGCTTCCGACACGGTATGAATGGGATTCGGTTCGAATTCGAGAAATTTCTCAACGATCTCATCTAATCCAAATTTACACGCCACATGAAAGTGAGTGTAACCGTACTCGTCGATGTAATTCACGTCATAGCTATTATACATTTTGAACAGCTCCTCGATGATAACATGGATGTCTTCGTAGTTGTTATTAGCTGCGCTATGTATAGGTGTGGTGTGATACAGCCATGGCATATCTTCTTTATCGAGCTCAGGCTCGTCCGTGTATTCTGTCTTTATCACAAACTGGATGAATTCTTTGGCTCTCTCAAACGTCGTTTTATCCACTATAGAATGTATGGAATCGTTGAGAAGACATTCTATTTCTTCGGGATCAAATAAATTATCGAATTCAGGAAGTGGTCCTCTCCACTTACGGATCAAATGTTCAATTCTAAGAAGAAACTCACGCCGCTCTTCGACACTCCAACCCATTCTTTTTCTCTCTTCCGTGAATATTTCTAATGATTTTTGGTAGGACATTTTTCTGCGCACTCTAACACGAACGAAACCACTGATAATTTAATAATTTATTTTTTACACAAAAAGCACTTTTTGATATGAAACTTTTTTGCTTTAAACACTTGTTCAACTTAAAGTCACAACCACGAGAATAATATATAATAGTACTTAATGGAACGGTTGTGAATATGCTTTTTCTGCAAAACGAGAGGTTGTAGCGCGAAGCGAAGGCGAGTGCCGTATGGAATTTTGCCGAAATAGATTATTCGCACAAGTTGCATACAATATTTTATAACACAAACGTATAAAATTAGCGAAAAAAATACAGTTTTAAGGTTAAACTACTATAAAACGAAGAACACGTGGTAGGAGCTACGAGCGACTATTTTTGAAACACTAGGCAGCACTGATATATACATACTGAACCATCTTCAAATAGAAAGGTAAAAGAATTTCTAAGCTAGTGAAGGCGCGAGTAGTGCCAGCTATATACATCAAAAGAGGAGTGGGGGGCGTCGTCTAGAATCGAAGATTCGTTCACAGCTGAGTGCTTTCTCTCTCTTCTTTGTCGACCGGTGGTGTAGACAATTCAAAACGTACATTTCAAGTTACTCGCACGTGCTAGATCGTGATTTCCGTACGATTTTCTATACATATAGCTAAGCTTTGATTCTCGGCTGAATTAACCGGTCGCATAATTCGCGACGATACAATGATTCTAAACAACCACCCACGCGCGCGATATTCGTATTTTAATTTATTCAACCTATAGGGCAGCAGGCAAAATTTGCGATGTAACTGAGCGACGCGCAGAATGATCGATCGTTTCTACATTGCCGAGAAGAGACGAGCTTTCATCGAAGAATTTCTTAAACGTAAGTATACGTAGAGAAAATGTTGTATATCTAAAATACGGCATATCGCCTCTCGGGATGATATGCAAAAATGAGCCCATCATCGCCGTGAGCTAATATGAATTTCTCAATCAATGCGAAAATATGGCAAAAAGGCAGCAGTAGCTGCGCTATACGCGTTCGGCTTTAAATCTACACGGTAGTACGCTCCAAATCTGTGTGTGAGTGTATCCTGCCGCTCGCGGAATATTAATTGGCCTGCATAGCTGCGACGTATACGTATAAAAGCGAAAAAGGTGCACGATCTCTTCAGACGTGTCCTGCATAAAGTATATTATACCCGGCAAAATTAGCAAAAGCGACGGCAAATACCCGAGAGATATCTCGTTCGCTTCTCTCTCTCTTTCTCTCTCGCATTAGCTCTCGGCTGCCGCGGCCGATATCGATAATATTTCCTCTTCAGTCGGGGAAGGCTCCAATCTCAACCATTGATGCGCCAATACATATAATAACCAATATATATATATAACGCAGTCAGTAGTCGTCGCTGTCGCACTAGCACCACCACCGCCCAGCCTAGCTCGCTGCGCGCTTATGATATATTTACGACGAGGCTTTTGATGCTTACGCTCGTAAAAAATTCCTGCGGCTCGTAAAGAGCTTTGGCCCCGGCAATGGCTAATACAGGCAGCGGCTGCTTTTACTATAAGCATAAATCGAGATTTCGCTAATTTAAATGGGCGCGAGCTCGCTGCTGCTGCTGCTGCTGTATTATTTGCGAAAGAGATATTAAAAAGCTCTACTCTTTCTGTTTCTCTCTGGCGGTGCAGCACACACACGCGATTACGGCATGCCATCGCGCGAGCGCGCTTACATACACGTTTTAACGAAGGGCAAAAATTTCGCTCTCGTCTCATCTCACTCCCTCTCTTTTTCTCAGCTGCGCGGATTAAAAACTGCGGCAAGTAAAGGCTGAACAAGAGCCGAGGTAAACTCTCACACATACACGCGCGAGACTCGTGCTTTGATCGGATTAACTGTTATGGCTAATGTTTACGCGCGCGCGCGCCGAGAGCTAGCTTATAATAATATATGCACTGATTTTATGTATACAACAGCGTGTAAAACACTGCGGGGACTTTTTTTCTATACTCTGCACCACCAACGTGCGCTCGTTACGAAGCATAATTTAAAAAGTTCGTACGCGACGTGACGTGTGTGTATGTGTGTGTATATGCGTCGTCACACGTATTTGTGACACATGTACATGCGCGCGCGCGCGGTTGAAATAATTTGAAAAAATAAACGAGAAACGGAGAATTTTTTTTTCCTCTGCAGCTTATCAAAGTTTTGAAATTAAAAGTACGACGATGAGCAGCAGCAGCAGCAGCAGCCCGGGCCATCACATCGAGTCGAAAGAAGTCGTCGACGTCGGAGAGAGAGAGAGCGAGAACGCAGTAGTGCAGTGTATAGCTAGCTAGCTGGAAGGCTAGGAAAATTCATTCGATGCTGCCGCTGACTGCTGTTCCTGCTTTGGCCTCGGCAAAAATAATTTTCAAACTTTTAATTTCCAGCGCGATTCACGCAGGTAAAAATTATACGAGCGAAAGGAAAAAGGCCTGCGCCGCGGGTGGTGGGAGCGTAAAAGAAACTGCGAAGAAGGCGCTCGCGCGCGTACAACAGCTGATGCGTAATTTTCAGTTTCTCGTCTCTGGTATGCTGCTGCTATTGCTGCTGCTGCTGCTGCTTGGTGTTAAACGGATAATTTTCCAAAGAGAAGAGCACAGCAGCAGCCAAGGAAACAAAAGAATCAAAATGAAGCCTATATAACACAGCAGCAGCAGCACGCGCTGTACGAAAACTAAAGCAATCAGCCGCGACTCGAGAGCCGTTTACATGGCATGGGCGCGCAGTCTCGCGCGATATCACGTCGTCCCTTTTACCCTCTTTTTGTTTCTTTTTTTTTGCTGCTGCTGTTTCCTTCACGAGCTAAGTTTTGTTTCTCGCCTGCTGCCGGTGTGCACGATCGAGCAAGACACGATTTGCTACGTCGTGTGTGTGTGTGTGTATGTGCGAAACGAGAAATATTATTACAGCACAGCGGAAGAAGTCACAGCGGGGGGGTACGACACTATGCCGAAAAGCCGATGTGCCGAAAAAAAAAAAGGAAGAGAGCCTCTCTCGCTCCGATATAAAGCCGGTCGAGGCGCGCGCGCGCTATATAAAAGTAGAGAGGGAGTATAGCACATATACAGTGCATGTTTTGTAACGCTGCTGCTGCACTAGTGTAGCGGCCACTACTATATATACGGGAGTTTTCGATGCGTAGCAAATGCGAACCGAAAACTTTTCGATTCTTTTCATATATTACGCCCCGAAAAATCGTGTTTACCCGTTCGCCAGAATGTGTATATGGCTGACCGATGTTAAAATACACACACACACACACACACGTGTGACGACTGCTGCTGCTCCTGCCGGTGCGAAAGTTTCAGCCGCGCAATACTGCACACGGTGATTTTTACAAACACGTACACACACACGGTGCCTCGCGCTCGGGGGTTATTGCTCGATCGATCGGTTATACGTTCGTTCGTTCGTTTCGCGCGCGTGGCATGAAAACTTGTCTTCGCTAAATTTCTCTCCTCTCTCCTCGTTTTCTTCGAGAGGGCAAAAAAAAGAAGGCCACGAGAAACGAACTTTTTTGCAAAAAAAAAGAGGGAGGAAAATACGCCAAAGTTTTCAAATGCACCTGCGCGTTGGCAACACACACACACACGCACTAAGCCTTGGCTCGTCGTAGTCGCATACAAACACCGTGAGAGATAGTTTACGTGCCCCGACTCTGGCAAGATTTACATGATGCACGCTCATGCACTCAAGGGGACTTTGGACCATATACGAGGAACTAATATGCTGGTACCTGCACTGGCACGAAGCAGCAGCAGCAGCAGCAGCAGCCGATGTTTATTACTCCGGATCTTTTGACAACGCAAGAACTCGAACTCGACGACGACGATGGCATGAGCAACGACGACATGCATGTATCATCCATAACGTCGCATACGCCACGTTTTACATATAATACGAGAACTTTGACACAGGGCCATACCACCACAAAATTTCGGCGCGATGTAACGATCTCCATGGACTACATCCGATGCAGATTTTCGCGCGCAATTCTACACAAAGCCAAATGATGCGCGCGTCACGTCGAGACTCGAGAGAGAGAGAAAGAGAGAGAGAGAACCACCGACTGCGATTCTATTATACTCGCGTATCAAGTCCGTTAAATATATATTTCGTAGACTACACTCTGCACTCGCCTCATTAGAGCGCACATCGACGAAAACAAATCCGTTTATAACAATGGATCCTCTCGAGCTGCAGCAGCAACAGCAGCAGCAGCAGTGTTGTATGCAGTCGACGATATTATACGATACATATTACAGCCAAACTATAACTACATAACGCGATGCTCTATCTCTGATATATCTGTGGGTGCGACGTTCGTTGCGACGCTCGTTTACAACAACGTCTCTATGATATACCTTATATAGCTATATAGTGCAGCCGTGTAATAGCTGCACAACGATCTTGTTGAGCGACACGTATTACAGCGGCCGCACGATGACAGCTACGGGAGAGAGAGAGTCGTATTCGACGTTGTACAATACGCGCGCAAGCTCGGAGCTCTTTACCTCGGCAATTGCACCGCACCGATGTATATTATTCGTATTATACGTATACGTGCAGTGCAGCGCATACATGCCGGGGTGCCGTTGGTGCAGCGAGAGCTCCGTACCGTGTCAAATGTTCTTCCAGAGACAAATGACGGAAATCGAGTGAAAATGCATAAATTAACGTGAATGACTGCAAACGCTCGACCCCATCCATCCATATATATTTACGAGAGAGAGCGAGCGAGCTAATTGCGAATTCCACGCGTCACGTGTCGTCGTGCGCGGTGCGGTGGGTCATCGAGGAACCGCGCGGCGAGCTTTAAATTTCGCTAATTATTTAAAGTACCGATTCCATCCGCGGCGAGACTCCACATATACATATACACGCTTCGTTTCGTGTGTATTATAAATGCGTGCGCGACGCCGACTTTTATCCAATATTTACCTATAGCTATGCGTGCTGCATTTCCCGTCAGTCGATACT